CCCCCCCCCCCCCCCCCGGCCCACACTCGGCGCCACCTGGTGTCAGGACGTGGGCTCCATTTTTTCTGGGGCTCTGGGCTCTCTGGCTGCATCCCAGGGGGATCAAAGGCCCAGAGCCCACCACCAGCTCCCTCTGCCCCACCCAGGCCTGCGCTCCAGGGGAACCCTCGGACCTCAATGCCCCACTCCGCTGCGAGGACCACCTGTCCCACCACGCTGTGGGAGGGAGGCGCAGGCAGGGGGAGCAGTCGGGGCAAAGGTGGACCAAGCCTGACCTGCCCAGAGCCACACCGGCCGCACTCGGCTGAAAGTCCCGTCTTGGTTCTCACTCCAGCTCACACTAAAGCGTGAATGACTGACACCGCGTGCCTAGCAGTGGAGGGCTTGCAGTTTCTGGAAGGATCCCTCCCTGCAGGAGCCAGCGCCCTGTCCTTGCCTCCATTCTGAAATCCTACCATTCGACTTGAGTTCCTCCTGGCCTCAAAGATGTCTCAGACTGCAGGAGCTGGGGGGGCGCCTAGGCTGGAGTGAGGACCACCCTCCCACACCCCAGGGCTGGAGGCCGGGGCTCTGGGGCCGTCCTTTACCTCTGGGACCTGTCTGCCAGCCCCCGGGCCAAGCCCACCACGCCAGCCTCAGCTTCCCTTCACCCACTCCTCAGCCTTGTCACTAGAAGGCAGGGGGCTGGGGTTCACCCCATCACCTCATCTGGCCCCCACAACTCTACTCCCCCAGATGCTTGCCCTCCCTCCCAATGGCCAGCTCCCTTCTGCTCCAGTCTCCTCCCCAGGACCAAGGGCCAGGAGCCTGCAGGTCAGACCAGCACTGTCCCTGGTCCCCCAGGGCCTGGACCTGAGGCCTGTGCGTCCCCCACCCTGTGTCTTCCCACCTCGAATCTTCCCGAAGGCCGAGTGACGCGCAACGCTGCGTATTTATATCTGATGTAAACAGTCTCCTGTACAAGTCCTCGCCCTGAAGTAAAGCTGTTTATCCATCTGTGCCCACGACTGGGCTCCTGGCCGGCCAGGGTGGGCACCAGCCTGGGGGAGGCCTTCACACCCCCTTCCTCTGCATGCCCTAACCGGTGGACAGGCAGGGCCTCCAGGGAGGCTGTGGCGGGTCCGGTTTCGCTGTCAGCGCTGGGCAGACTTAGGGCCCTGGAGCCCGGCAGCTCTGATGGGCGGATGAGGGGGGAAGGGGTACAGGTGGCAGATGTGGGGGGGACGCGGGCCAGCAGAACCATGGGCCTCACCCCACCCCTGGCCCCAGCTCTGCCTGCTCAGAGAGGACATGGAGGTGGCAGGGTGGCCAGGACGCCCGCGGTTGAAGACAGAGGGAAGGTGCCTCGGTCCACACCTGGGAGAGCCGGCCACCTGGGAGCCTGCAGTTCCCTGAGCATGCGGGCCTGGGTCTCGCCCTTTTCACAGGTGGGGAAACAGGCTCTGGGGCTTGGCCAGGGAGGGGCTCTAGCCTGGGCCTCCGGGCGGTCTTTCCTGCACTCTGCAGTCCCAGGCTGGCCGCAGCACCTGTGGGGAGGCTCCTCCCTCTCCTATCTGGCACCCTCTGGGGCCGGAGGCGGAGGTGCTGGAGGTAAATACCGGGCCTGTTTGGGTTCAGCGGCAGGAAGTGTCCCTGGCGCGCGCCCCGCTTCCTGCAGGCCGGGCTGCCTCAGGTGGGCGGGGCTCCTAGCTGAGATGGGCGCCCCGCCCCACGCCTGGGGTGACTCCGCCCACTCCCACTGCTCCAGGCCACCTCCTTGGGGGTCTCCGCTGCCTCCCCCCGCCCTCACCACCCAGAGCCCTCGACCGGGCAGGCCAGCAGGCAAGGGT